CTGCACAAAACCATTTCACAAGAACATTGCACTTGTATGTCGCATACATCTGATCCTAACTTCACTTGAAGACAGATTGCATCACAGGCTCAGCCTCCCAAGGACAGCATCCTGTGTGAGTAGTGGGCTGACCAGATGATTACAGATAATTATGGCAACAAAGATCCGTCCCTGACCATGTGCCCTTAAGCAAGATGCTGACCCAGTGCAGTGCCTGCGCTGTGCTTCTTTCCGGTGGTACAGACGTTGTTTCTCTTGGAGGAGAAAATGCTAAATGACAAAACCCTGACTCGCACACTCTTCACAAGCACATTATAGAGCTCTAAAATTGCTCCAAATGCCACTCGCATGCTGACGTTAATTATAGTCAAGCGGATATTTAAGGCAGTATACAAACCCATTCATTATACACATCAAGTTATTGACAATGTGGTACTTTGTTCCGCAGACCCACGACTGAACAAAGGTCTTTCTATTGGACACATGGACACATACAAATACTGGTCCTGGAACCATCATCTCCACTACAGCCCACTGCACAATAAAAGTGACAATTTTGCACAACTGGACTTTCAGCAAAAGCAGATGCTCTCATCTTATAAGAAGCACAATTCCTTAATCTATTGACGTCCTCAGAAATAACGTGTCTGCTGCTGGAGTGAGTACATAGTTACCTTCTGCTGTGACTCTTTGACAGAGGAGAAAACAACGTCACAGATTCTTCTAAAACGGCATCGAGCTGATGATCTGCTCCTGTAAACTGACGTGATGATGCACACACTGATTCTGCAGAACCCTTTTCTCTCCCTCTTATTCCACTGAATGAACAGCATCATGCTGATTCCATACCCAAATACACATATGTCATCCAGCCAAATTATCTAGCAGAAGATTTATCTCACCCAAACAGTCTGAATATGCTTTCTAAATATAGTCTTAGAAGAACAATATCTCATCAGTTTTGAAATGCAAGTGTGGTTTGATTACAAAAGTGCTCACAGCCTTTGTGGGAAGTGATACTTCAGATGCTGTTTGTCATTTTATAACAGTTAATGAGATTACTTATGGTGCTGTAGCACTTGAAGAAGATGAATGCAGAGTGGAAAATGCACCTTAGATTTAATAAACCCTCAAATATATTAGGACATGACTTACTGGTTTCTTTGTACCGTTTTCTGGTATTTATAAAAGAGAAAGGGCAGATCAGTTTTAAAGTCAAAAGTTCAGTGTCTTAAAGTGGATTACAATGACATCACAGATAATGTGCACAAACATTTTTTTAACCCCACAACTCAAAGCATTTTCTGTTTCATATTATTGTGAATGCATATCTGACATGTGGCTCAGGTAATTTTTTTTATATCAGGCTCTATTATTGTTCCCTTGGGGTATTTTGGCAACCAATGTTTCACTTCTATTGTAGCTGAGACGTATTCCAGAAAATTACACTGATTTATTGAATGTTCAGTGCACATTCATGAGGTTGGATTTCACTGAGAAATACCCTAATACATCATAACAAATGATTTATGAAATTATTATCAGTTCTATAAAAAAATTTAAGCTTGCACACCATGCAGACACTAAGTGTTTTCTCCAAATTTAATGTGATCAAATTTTGAGGAAATGTTTTTCCCTTTAGCCCCACAAAATCATTTAAAAAGTCATTCTTTCCATCTGTAAAAATAGATTTCATCCAAAGGGAGACAGGACCTCACTTTCTGTTTGTCATTCCTCTTATTATTAAACCTGAATCCAGGTAATGAAGCCAAGACATTTCCCCTGCAGGAATGTGCTTCTCTCCCTCAAACCTGCCTCTAATCATATCTGTCGCATCACCATCCTCCTCCCTCACCCCTCCTCTTTCTTTACTGGCTCTGTGACAGACATCGACCCTGTCCCACCCATTCCTACCCTCACCCCACCCCCCCACCCAATCTATCTCATCACATCAACTCTGCTCCTCCACAGGAGCACCTTTCTCCCTCTCTCTCTCCTTCCATCCTCCCCATTGTCTCCCCACACCCATATGCTCTCGTCCGAGTCAGTGGCCACCCAGCATGGAGATTTATCACAGCAAACTGACAGCCACAACCAGCACTGTGCGTGCACGCGCGCGCACACACACACACACACACGATTCAACACAGAAAAACAAGACCCAGACAAGCATCTCACAATGACAGACATGGCAAAGCATTGGCGGGATATTTTTGCTCTAATCTGCTCGATCACTCTGATCGCCAGTGAAGAATTCAAAATGTGAGAATAAATGCAGTAAGGACACATGAGCAGAATCCATGTGTGCAAGTACAGACACTTTATGTCTCCAAATTAAATCAGTAAAAACATAATGTGGCTGCAAAGCACATGAAGCTCTTATTGCTTAGTGCTTCATTTCTCCAGACGTTTGTCAGAATTCAGACACGAGGCTTTATTTGTTCCTGCTGACAGGGACCAAGAAACTCACCTTCTCGACGTTTTCCACCGTGAAGTCCAGGGCGTCCGGTGTGGCTGCGATCCTCCCCGGTGTCTCCATATCTCCGCAGACACGGAGCTGTCAAACGATCAGAGGAGCAACACATTCAGGAGCGAACAGCGAATGTTAAACTTCCCTTTTATACACAGCGCCACCCGCACAACACATCCACACACCAGCAGCCGGGATCCACGAACCAGCGGGGCGACCTGGGGTTTCTACGTTTTAATAATCACACGAGAAGCTAACCGGCAAGCTAACATTAGCTCATTTAACTTGAGAGCTAGGCTAGCCGATGCTAACCCCCCACAATAGATAAACACTAGAGCGACGCTATGCTAACGCCAAACTAGCTAACGAGGCAATTCATGCAACTTAACGCTCCTCTGGTGCTAAATGGCACCGAGCGAGACAGGTATACTGACATTTTCAAGGTGTGACAGCATTACGAACACAATGCCGTCTCCGCGAGTGATCTGTGGGCTGTCTAAGAGACCGAGATTTCCACACCTTTCTGTCCCGAGACGGTGTGAGAAGATGCGGGCAGCTCCGCTCTGCCGCTGCTCCGTCACCCGGAGCTCTGCGACATTCAGGCACCGTGGGAAAAAACAGAACTGCCGGGGACCACCCAATAACACGGGGCATGAAACAGCTATTTCTATAGTTCGCAAACATTTACAGCCAGAAGATGTTTAAAAGCAGAAAAAACACAGACAGACTGACTGATTTACTGTTGTGTATCTTCTTCTTCTTCTTCTCTTTATCAAACAAGGACAAAGCACAAAAACATTCATTTAAAAATGAGAAAATATGATTTATGCCAGATTTAGCTATCAAGTCATTTCCATCGCAGGCCTTGTGCAGAGACACACTAAATCTATAACACACCAAATACAAAAACATTAATTTACATACTACACCATCAAAGTGTAGTTTAGTCAGCAGTAGTTTAGTCAGTAGCTGTTGACTGTTGACAGTTGGTCAACAGAGAACACATCAACACATACCAGCACATGCATTCAGTATATTGGAAGAAAAACAATCTGAATCTGAATCACCACCATGTTTTTTTACAGTAGTCCAAACTGGACAAACTAAACACATTTTGAGTTTTTATGACAACTGAAGCTACCACAGGTTCTCTTTGGAAGGGGAGGGTGAGCTGAGAGGTGTTCACTAGATCCTCCACACTGAACCTTTAAATACTAATCGTACCTCTAAACTGAAAAGGGTTGTATTTGGAAAGTATGGTAATTTAATGATTTTCTGTAATTAGGTAATTATGTATTTACTGGGTGCATAAATTGTTGATGCAGCTTTTATTTATTTGTGGATTCTTTATTTGAGAGGGGACAATGTACATGAATCCACGTTCACACACAGATGTAAAACCACCTGAGTTAGGTGGAAGGCTCATTGTTTCGTCTGTTTATGTGGCACTTGAATCCTTAAGAAAATAACACGTTCTCAACATTTTCAAGAACGTCTAATTTTACAGATAAAGACTGGATAGAGTTACAAAATTTCAGCTACAGAGCAACAGCGCCTCCACGTGGGGCAAAGAAGACATCACAGTACAGTGAAATACACTGTAGAAAGTGTACTGCATTGCACACTTGTGGAAATACCCCAAACAGGCAGTGCTAAGTTTTTTTAATTTGTTGTTCTCTTCGTAAAGTCTTTGGTGCTCATACACAACATGGTAAACAGTAAAAAAATGTCATCATCAATTCCTGAAGTTCCTTTTGAGAAAATAACACAAGGGCTTTATGATATATATATATATATATATATAATACATAAAAAGTAATATAATTTATAATAATATTATATTATAGACATGTAAGAGGTAAATACAGCCAAGGGTTTGAAAACTCATAAATGCTAAAATATATAAAAGATCCCCTGTACACTGTAAAAAGTTTTTTTATATAACTTTACTTTATTATCATTGTACATTTTTCCATAAATCAAGTGTAAATGCCATAAAAATACAGTCAATTACTAACATAAAATAAATGTTGAATTCCATGAAAGAATATCAGGGGGAAATTATTTTACAGGACAAATGTATTAAATTGCTAAATGGTCTTTATCTCCCAAGACTCACTACTGTTTTTGTTACTGTAATGTGACGGTAAGTGTTTGGCAACTTTAGCTGCCAGACTTTTTAATACAGATATAAATGAAAAGTCAAATAATTGTGTATGTCTCATCGCTTAGAATTATTTTTGCGTCGATGCACAGTCGACCATTGTGCTGTTCACTTCTCTGTTATTCTGATACCTGCTTTTTGGCGGATAGGTGTCAGTCTGCGCACTAAACCAGCGCCATGGCACAGAGTCAGAGCCAAGAGGGAACCATAGGAGGGAACACGTGGCACTGAGTCTGGAGGGAGAGAGAGAGAGAGAGGGCGAGAGAGAGAGCGAGAGAGGGGGGGTGGGGTGGGGAGGTTGTCATGTACACCCTCCTCCTCCTCCTCCTCCTCCTCCCACTCCTCCTCCTCCCTCAGTCCCTGCAGCCACGCACACACACAGAGCTGCAGTGCGCAGTAGGACAGTGTTGCTGTAACAGCGTCGCCTGCATCTGACTGGAATATCGAGCGACGTATTCAAGTGTCCTGTGACAACAAGACGAGAGGAAACGACATTTACTGTTGACACGAGGAGGAGTGAGATGATGGAGAACAAACTCTGGACTGTCCTCTGGGCCCTGCTGCTGACTGTTAACTTGGGATCCACTGAACATGGTAGGTCACGGTTGTCTTTATTTCATCTTTTGCTTTTTGAGTAATTCAGTCATTAATATGTGGCTGAATTTGCTCCTCACAACACACTCACAGTCATGACATTGACTTTCATTCATGTCCTATAGAGACTTACTCTAACTTTAACCTTCTACTTGCCAAACACTTGCCCAACCTTAAAACATATTCACATTATGTGGGATTAGCTTTGTGTCCCAATGATGTGACTGTAAACAGATGTAGGTCATTACAACATGTGTATTACTACACACCATCAACATCGCCTGCCTGTAGCACCTATGGTGGTTTTGTTTGATAATTAGATATTTAAACAGACAGAGCTGAAGTAAGTTAACAGCAAGAGATTCACTTTTATTTTCTCACCATCATCTCAGTTCCTCTTGTCTTTCAAACACTAACATCAGATTGACTCTCTCCAGAAAAACTACAGTTTACTCTGGCTTTATTTGTTTCAACAGCCTCAATTTATATTTCACATCGCTTCCCCCCCCCACTTCCTCACCCCCCCTACTTCCTTTCTGTGTGTACAACATTTGCACAGCTCACAAACCTGGATTTCACTCTCCGCCACCTTCTGCTTTCTCCACTCCACATACTGTACCTTTCCTCCTTTGTCCCCTCCTCCCTCTCTTCCATCTCTTTCTCTGTCAGCCCCTCTCATGTAAGAGTTAAATGAGATGATGGACAGTAGAAGAGATTTTATTGGGTACAACTGACCCATCAGCCCTTCAAGCTAAACAGAATTTCAAACTAAATTCAAGCTTAAAATCAAAAGAACAGAAAACCGCAGAGCTCCACATGGAGGACGTTTATTGTCTGTATATGAGCAGGGAAGCACATTGTAGTGAATAAGTATGTGCAGCAGAACACTGCCATCTCACTGGCTTCATGCTTATTGGCTTTCTACTGCACAATGCCTTATGGGGACTTTATGAAATACAGTGTCTCTACTGTAGCAGGTTCAGTGGCTGATTTAAACAGTGTGTTAACTGTGTTTGTCTTTATGTGCATAAAGATATTGTGCAGAACTTGAAGGCCACCCCTCAATGCTCTACAGATAGACGCAAACGCTTAGCATTTGTAATTTCTCTTATTTCTATGGTCAACATCTCATGACTTTAAGGAACTAAGGAAGTGTGGATATAAACTTTATTTTCATCCTCCATAAACATTCATGAAGTTTAAATGATTAAATATTTTTTATTTTTAAATGGTAAATGGACTGTATTTCTATGGGGCTTTTCCAGTCTTATCGAGCACTCAAAGTTCTTCATCCTACAAGTCACATCAGAAATAGGAATACTTTATTAATCCCTGGAGGGAAAATTCACCCATTCATGTAATCATTCATATAGTGCTATTATATGCTGCGCTTTATCTGTCAAACACTGCCGTCACAGCTGTCAGGAGAAATTTGGGGTTCAGTATGATGCCCAAGGACACTTTGGCACGAGGACTGGAGCAGCCTTGGGATTGAACCACTGACCTTCTGATTAATTAACAACCTGCTCTAAACCCCCTGGGCCACAGCGTCTCCACACCCTTATTTGTGCCACTCTGGCCATCTTTGAATAATCAATAACCTATTTACTATAACTTAAACAGTAATACATACATAATAATTATTTGCGCTAAAGCTAATTTAATGTTTTATAGTCTCATGGAAACTAATTATTTAGTAGAACCTCACATTAAGCAGAATTTGATTCAAGTTAAAGCTATAGAAGTTCTCATGTGGTATAATACGACCTAGCAGGAGTGGAAAAGAAGATGAGAGGCCGGGAGCATGACACGCTGCATGAGAGGTCACTCACAGACTGCCAATAAACATCTGAAATAAGTGCTGACAAGGCCCATCACAGAGCTGCTTCAGACCTCCACTGTTCAGTTCCACTTAAAAGAAAACTCAGTTCAAAATCAGCTGTCCTATCGACTATCGTGAGTTTTGCATAATCACATGCTGCAATACCAGCTTTATGTGTTTTTATATGAGCGGCTACGTATAGGTCTCGCAGAGAAGGGATTACTGGTGTGACAGGCTGGTGCTGAAGCAGCAGACATCTGCTTGCGGAGAAATGGTTGGCTGCTCTGTGTTCCTCACTGGCAGGGTCAAGAATTGAGTAAGAGCTGTTTCCCCATGCAAAGGTCTGAGAGGCTGTAAGAGCCTGTAATATCGACACCGAAGAGTGAGCAACAGTGGAAACAGTGTTTCTCTTTACCTATCTACTCTACACACACACACACACACACACACACACACACACACACACAGTTATACACTCACAGATATATGTTCACAAAACAGACCTCAGCATTTGACCTAAGCTGCTCTAATGGAGCTAAAGTGAGGGAACAAGCCCAGTATTATGCAGCCAAGCACCTCTGTCTATTTATATGTCTACTTTGTATCATTTGCACAGGTCTCTCTCTCTCTCTCTCTCTCTCTCTCTCTCTCTCTCTCAGTGTGTTTGTGCTGATGAGCTGCGTGAGTGATTATACAGGTAATGAGAGGTATCACAGCAGTCTGTAACTGAGCGGTAATGCCATTACAGTACATGAGTTCTCTGGTCTTCATCAAAAGGAAGCCGGCAGGAACACAGATGAAGTCTGGTGCAGCAGTGCTAAAGACATCAAGGAGAAAATTCAAAAGAGAGGGAAAGAGTGAGAGAGAGAGATGGAAGGTCCTTGTTAAAACGATATTACTTCAAAAACCAAAAATTACTTGCGTCTCATGTGGTCTGTAGCTGATGCCATGAAAAGTAAAAGTAAAAGTTGGTCCTTATCCATTTTACGTTATAGTCTGAAATTATGTTTTACATTAATGTGGCTGTGTTGTGATTTATTGCAAATTTCAGTTTTTATTTAGCTCAGTGGTTCCAAATCTTGAGATCAGGACCACACAAAGGACGTAAGATAAATGTGAGTGGTTAAAAGTACAGTTTACAAGATAAATAAACAGAATATTCCTACAACACAAATCATTATTTTACAAATTTCTTTCAAAAACCACATGAGGAAACATTACTGTAGTCAAACTGCTCACAACTCAGTGGGTCATCACTTCACTTTGCGTCAGTCTAAAGGCAAAAGAGGTTAGGAAGATGAGATGAAACCTTATTGAACCCCTAAATCAGCAGATAGTCAGAATGAGGTAGAAAAGATAGTAAAAAAGGCAATAGAATAAAAATTCAAAAATCTATAAAAATACAGAACTATTGAAGTGAATGTGACATTTCATTGTCTTCCCTACACTATAGAGGCATTTGTTTATTTTTTATGTATTTAAAAAAGGACAATGTAGGCTAATCAATGTTCATGTGAATGTAAATGCATCCAAGTTAGCTGAAGGCTATTTTTCCTTGGCAGTCCATTTGGTAGATATTGATCGGTATCCTGCAGTGATCGAAAATAGTGTAATGATGATACAATAATATAATAATAATAATCTAGGTGTGAAATAGAAGGGGGCTCTGGGTGTCTGAGACCCCTCGAATTGACACTTGACACTCTCTGAAAGCTTTTAAAATGTCTTTTAAAAGCATACTATGTCCAGTATTAGGTCGGCAGGGTTTCCGCTACGTTCATTTTGCATATATATGCAAGTTATGCATAACACTGGAGCACAAGGTAGGACCACAAGGTGGGGGGACCCTCTAAATAATTACTATTTAGATAAACCCTGAATAATATTCTCTTCTTTAATTCAAAGAAATTATTTCACAGTCAACAATGTACTTCCCCTGGTCTTCAGCATGACACTGGTCAAGTTAGAATTAAATCGGATGAGTAGCTTTTGAGAAAATCGAAAGACAGCTACAGAGACAGAAAGACAGACAGAGATTTCTCTGTTTAGTCACATCATAGGTCCACACTGTCTGTCTGTTGCACAATCTATGGTCCGTTGCTCCATGTTTGGCTGCAATAATGAACTAATAAGTTGTTAATGACTGAAATTCACTAGGAATTGGCCATTAACTATCTCTGGCACTGTCCTCTCCTCATTAGGTAATGACCATGCTCCTGCCTCACAAAGTCCTCTGGGGGCTGAGGTCTTCACTGGGGCCCCAGCTGCAGACTCTGCGCCTGCTCCGAGACTGGAACCCACCAGTCGTCCTGCTCTGCCACTTACCAGCTCTGACACAAACACAAGCTCCAGTGGCACCGGCAGTTTGACTAAAGAGGAGGAAATCACCCCAAAGCCTTCTGAACACAAGCCTTCTGAACACAAGGGAAAAAACGGTAACCATTATTCTCTGATTTATAGAATGAAATGAGATATAATAAATAGGAAAATATGATGGTAGACTAATGGTGGACAGAGTCACACATCTGATCAACTGCGTGCGATATGATGTTGGAAAATATGCACAAAAACAAACTAGGTCATACTACTCTTATTATTTGCTTGTGAGGTTTGAGAGTGTGGACATTTTGTCACAGTTCAGAAGAATTTAGCCGGATGTCCAGCAGCAGGTGGCTAAGAGTTTTAGGAGCTATATTTAACAGAGTCCTTATCTCTTCTCTCCATGTCCAGAAGACAAGGCCACATAGTGACAGGGTTATAAAGTGTTGACAAATCATGGCACAAATGCAACACAAGCAGAGAGACCAAGAGTTCAGACTCAAAACAAAAAACTACTACAGAGATGGTGTAGCAGGATTGTGCAAAAACTGCTCAACAGTTTTTGACAAAACTTGCAGGGACGGGACGTGTGCCACGACAGAACCTGTTCAAATTTAGGACGGATCTTGGCAAAATGAAGCAGATCCAGTCATTTTTTTCACCAATTTCCCAGGAAATAATGCCTGGATATTTAAGGTACTGATATTTAGTGGGTGAAATTCGATGCAGCTTAATTGAATTTAAGGAACTGGGCCTCGGGGGAGGTTTGCACTGTACTGAGTGTCATCCTAGTTCAATAGGGAACAATTTGTTGGGAGAGCAATGGTAAAATGTACTTGTAGAGAAGTGTACTCTGAAGCGATGGTGTTGAGGAGAGAAGTGATTAAATGCTGTGTGACTTTTCACAAGGTGGTGAGAAGGGGAGAAGTGAAATACTCCCCTCCCCAGACACACACACACACACACACACACACACACACACACACACACACACACACACACACACATACATACACATACACACACACACACATGCTGGTTCACACATTAGACTCATAAACATGTCCTCAGGCTAATGCACACTTTAAGACTATTTATATTCATACAATTTAATTAGCTGTGGCATCATGCCACTCAGATATCTGGGGTTTTGATATTCAAGTCAAGTTTTCGGCTTTCATCTCAGTACAAAGGAGCTGAATGGATTTTTATTTGTGATGCTAATAGCATTGAAAATTTACACTTCAAGAGTCTACAGCCAGTGTGAGGATGTAGACACAGTGGTGCTTTGAGCTAAATGCTAACACCAGCCTGCTAATATGCTGACAATACCACGCTCATATCAAGCAGGTATCATGCCCATTATAGTGAGTCAGTTTAGTATATTAGCATTCTCACATTCTTTCATTCTTTTTCTTTCCGTAGATTCCAACATAGCCTCTCCCTCGGTCTCTGCTGTGCCCGAAAACAGTTCAAACCAAACTGAGGATTTGTCATTGCAGCCTCAAACTCTTCCTTCAGAGAACCAGACGACCACTTCTCAAACCAACTCCGCCTCTCAGACCATCACCACAAGCTCCCCTCACACAACTCACGATATGCCTGTAGAAACAACGACCTATCCCACAACGCAATATCCTCACTGTAATACACAGCCGGGCGAACCCAAAACACAACCACCCACATCTGCCCCAACACCTGAGCCTGAAACCATCAGCAGCACCACCACCACCACCACCACCACCACCACCCACTCCATGTCAACATCCAGCACCTCCTCCTCTCAAGAGAAACCCATTACTGAGTCGCAGACGCTCACATCTCCACACACGACACAGTCCCATGCACCCCGAGTCCAAGCGAAGTCCACCACCGCCCCTTCAAGCAGCTCCACCCCCCAGGCCAAAGCCCGTGCTGACACCCCCTCCCAGCTGAACGTGGGGGGAGACAGTAAGTGCACAACTTCTTCTGTGTTGGTGTTTAAGTTTTGTCTGGACTCTTCACTGGCTGGATATTAACAGAGGCAGAAGTGCGTTGGTTTTTACAACAGAGGCAACACTGTGTTTCGTTTTCCAGCACAAACCAGTCCTCTCTTCTACACACACACACACAAACACACACACAGACAGACATACACGCCACGCATCCCCAGCTATATCTTCCACAAGCACTGTCACCACCAGGCACTCCACAATTATAGCTCTGTTTAGGAACAGCACAGAAGCAGTCATGGGACTTGGGCCTTGAGAATGCTCTGTTTTCTGTCTGTCTCTCACACCCTTTGTCTGCCTACTCAATGATTTATTCATCCACTTTCTGTGTTTGTACTCTGAATGTTCAGCGTGTAATTATTATTTTTTCACCATGAGATGTCTGTTTCCAGGCTTAAGCTGTGGTGAAAAACAAGGAGGAAAAACTTCTCTCTATTGACAAGCCTGCTTACAGCTAAAATATAAAATCTTTCTGCTCCTCTCGCTCTGTATGGTTTTATAAGGCCACACTTGGCATCCCGCCTCTTTCCATTAGCCACAGGAACAGGGAGATTTCACTGCACTGTGGCTGTTGTTACTTTCGACCAGAGGATATAAAAAAACAGCCAAGTTTACAAAACAGAATTCCTTTGCAAAACCCCTCCTGCATAGAGATACAAGGAGATCAAGGACAAAGAGTGATGATGTTCTCACAGATAATGCAGCACTCTATTTTATGCACTTCATTCCCGATCCAAAAATGATGCCCCATATATAAATTTCCTGGATCAACAATGAGATCAAGTACTGAATAAGCAAGGTTAACATCACCATCCTGTGTTTGACATTTCTGTTCTGAGCTACATGATGAACACTCGAGCTCAACTTGCCTCTGCAGCGTCTATATTTAGATCCAGTCACAGCGTCAAACAGTCATGTAAGGACCGGTAATTCTTCAGTTAAATCTACGTCAAACTCCTCATGAGAGTTTGTTTACTTGAGCTACACTGAGGAATAGAGGAATGGGCCCTGCTCAGCGATGTTCTGTGTTTCTTTCCCAGCAATGATGGTCCACGAATCGCCCACATTAGACCCTCTCCTAGCCGGCCTGGTGACAGCCTTCATCATCACTGCTGTTGTCATCACTCTGCTTCTCTTCCTCAAACTGCGCCGAAGAGACAACCGACCAGAGTTCCGCAGGCTGCAGGATTTACCTATGGTGAGCTACAGTCCTGTCTCAGAGAATATTTACAGAAAAGTATTTATTTGGAATTACTGCTACAGACCAAATCTGTACCTCTTTTTAAAAGGTAACTAATGGCTTAAAGGATTCTTAATCACAAACTAATGCTCTATCGATCTGCTAGTCTATTAAATCGTATGATACGTTCAAACCATCAATAAGAACCGTTTTAAGGTTGACAGGTTGGTATTTATCCTTCTCTGGAAGCGGTTTCTCCTCCCACCATCCAGAAATGAGGCCAAAATGTCCCAGATACAAATGCTGCCATTTTGTGCACTTGGAGTTTGCACAGTAGTGATGTTGATGTGGAGCCTCGGCAGCAAAGTCCCGCCGACACACACACTCGACCAATTGCGAGGCAGTCTCAGCTGTCAATTATAACATTTCACTACAGTTTTATAACATCACATAGGTAATTAAACCAACTTTGAGAAAAGGGGTTGTAGCTGCATATTCACCACATATCCAACTTAATGTTAAACTCTTAGCAAGGAAACGTATAAACATATTTCCCGAAACTTCAAAGTCTTTCTTTAATAACTTTACTATTAGTAACTTGCTTGTTATGGAGCTTTTTAAAATATATTATTAATGGACCAATAAAACATTAGAACATTAGTTATTGATCCTTGATAAAGATAACTGTGGCAACTTATTAACCTTTTTACAAAGGGTGACTTATTAAAATGGGGCACCACAAAATTTAAGCACTTTTGACCATGTGGACTGTGTAAACACACAGTGTAATGGCTTGTTCTGTTATTACGTTCTTTTTGTGCAGGATGACATGATGGAGGACACACCTTTGTCCATGTACAGCTACTAATGGAGGCAAGATGGAGATTTATGGCACCTATAAAAACCCTCCTTCCATGCAGGCTCATGCTAAAGTGTTTTCCCTTAATCTGCGCCAAACAGAGAGACTTCTGGGTAGGTGTGAGCAAACTCCTGGCTTGCTTTCATTTATCCAGATCATTGACATATAGGAAAGGACACGATTGAAGCTGCAATGGACAATGAAGACAGCGCCCATGATAATGACCCTTGAGCAAGTTCATCTTAATGCATGTAATTACAAATTCGGCAAATGCATCTTCTCAGTACTGTTTGGTCCATATTCCAGCTCATGATTTGGGGTTGTATAATATATTTTTAATTTCCACAGAAATGAAAAATGTCTGTGCGAAGCACAAAGCCACATTGTCAGTTGTATCCATCAGTGGTGGTTTACACAGATTAAGCCACATTCTTCACCAAGGGACGCAGATATAATGTCCTCCATTCAGTTTATGTTGTAAAGTCTGGTTAGACTTAAGGTCAATAGCATCCTGACAGAGAGGCCAGAGAAGTCAAATTAACAAGAAAAAGACAAAATGGCCTGATATACAGTTAATGAGGTTGCACTTTACTTTCTGAAGTGGAAACAAGTGGGCAAATATTTTTATGTATGAGAGAAAAATATGTTTTGTGTGTGTGTGTGTGGAATAAGTGCATGGATGTGTGTTTCATGGTCTGAGTGCATATGTGTCAGTGTCTTAAGGGTGAATGTATGATGTTTTTTGGAAGCATGGCAGAATATATTTAAACTTGAGTTGAGTTGGATATGTGTTACTGTTCTTTTGTTTCTTTCCTGGAGTCTTCAGCTCAGGAGAGAGTGCCTTACACAACATAGGATCAGCTTTTGTTTTACTCTATTTATACTGCAACCAACTAACTTCCAGATTTACCAGTCTTCTCCAGTATTTTGTGTGATTCCCATCTTAATACACGTTAAGCACCCGGATTCTGCTCTGACTTGCCTGTGTTTGAAAGACTAGCCTTGAGCGAGTTCGACATGAAGCACTCACTCATACAATGACAGTTTGCAGACTGAAATTGGCCAGTGGCCTTTCCGCAGAATGTTAGCATTGTCCTGTGCAGTGTAAATACTACTGATGACTGATTCATGCAAAGACAACTTTATAAAACTCTTTACTCTTACCAGACACAAACACATTGACTACAATGTCACTCAGTAGAGCGTACACCTCCGCCAAGGCCCAACAGAACCCTTAAATACAATCACTGAAACTCGCAGAGATCAGTTTCCTAAATGTGCCTGATTTAGTTCATCATCAAGATCCATGAGTTATTCCCTGAGGAAATGGGGAAAACGTTGAAAAACACCCAGTCTCACAAAATACTTGGATCCACCCCCTGATCTGGATTCACAATAGTATATAATGGGTTCTTACCTGACACATACCGCATCATTCCACTAAGTTTTTGCATAATCTTGCTTAGAAACAAAGGGGACAGGAGTGAAAACATAAACTTCTTGGCAGAGATAGAAATGTTGCAAAGACTGATGGGACAGCACATTGTTCCCAGCTGGCGAGCTGTGAACCATTCCATTGAGTTTCCTGTGTTTTAAGCCTCGCTGTGTTTTCGCTTTGTAAATATGCAGGAAAAGGGGAGTGGAGGTTAGACACACACAGGACGACAGAAGAACCCCATCAATACAAAACATACACAGCTCCTTTTTATTTAAGATTGAGCCTATGAACGGATACATCAAGCTCATGAAATGGATCTAAAACCTTTTTGGTATAAAATTTTGTGCAATGAAAAACTGAAAATTCACAGAAACTCAACGCAACAGTGCCTTATGATGGGTTGAGATCTGGAGGATGTGAATCATCTTCATACTCAAACTATTCAGTGAATCCATGTCAACCATATACATCCAGTATTAAAGGTAGGGTTGGTAATTGGTTTCTGAAGCACATTTAGCTTATTTGTTAAAGTTGTCAGGCAGTGAGCGTTCATGTGTTTTTGGGATGTAGCTTTGAGAGAAGGCCGATGGGAGGGGGTGGAATGTATCAGTTGTTTTTTTGTTTTTTTCAAAGTGCAGTCTGCTTTTTATATCTTTTCAGGGATTACCAACCCTATCTTTAAATTAGACACTTAAGATTCCAGATTGAAAGCCAAAGTTGTCTGTAAACTCCTGTATTTGTTCACTTCTTTAAATGTCCTAAGTATCCTGACTGCACACTGAGGCTTTGCTGTCAAACATGGAATATGGACTGTTGATGTTGTATGATTAAAGGTATTTTGAGACAAAACTCTGCGTTTCCTCATATTCCCTCCTCAGATCTGTTATTACCAGGATTTCTGGAGTTCTGCTGCTCCAAAGACACGACCACAGAGAGACAAGCTCCTCTCCTTTATATTTAACACAGACTATTATTGTTGGAGACAAAACACAAAACATTTATTTTACAGTTTTACAGTGAAGATATCAGTGCACAGCTGTACTGTACAGCAGCACCACTGCATAATACTTAGCAAATGTAAATAAAGTGCATCAGTCACAAACAGATCAGCCTTTTCTGCATTGAGTTACCAAGAAGAGCATTTTAGGAGAGGTTTGTTTAATTACTGTTTTTTCTTGTTGCTCACTTTTGAATAGATGTGAGATAATTGCCTGGTTAGACGAGCTGCAAAGTGTCTGTGGTCATTTGTCCACTTGCACACCCTGCCGCACGCCCAACCTGCCCCTGGCTCTGCGCTGTGGTCTGGGATTCCCGATGGGGGGTGTCTGGATGGTGAATTATTTAACAGCTTGACACCTGCCGGCAAGCCCGGGACAGTGTGACTCATGTCAGACAAGACAACATGAAGGGACTCTTGACAGTCTGATTGTGGATATGTAAAGACATCAAAGTGGAGTGAGTGTGTGTGTGTGTGTGTGTGTGTGTGTGTGTGTGTGTGTGTGTGTGTGTGTGTGTGTGTGTCTTTGTAATGTTAATGGATTCCTCTTGGCTCTCACTTCAGATGCATTACCAGGGATTACAATCGTCATCAGTTTCCTTCTGGATTTAAGAGTGCATATGTCAAGAAGAAACACTCATTAAATATCCATTATAGAGTAATGGGCATACTGTAAGCCCTTACTTTTCAAATCAAAAGCACAGTGATGAGTGGTTTCCTTATGGATCCCACTGAAGTTATGGATAGACATGAAAGTCGCAAACATTAACCACATCAAACTTTTACCTAACCCCAACAATCTGTAATCATAACAAACCTAAGCAGAACTATTTTCAATCTCGTCCTGCCTTAAACCAAAACCTTGTGGTTGAGCTTGCTGGTCCCCATGCCTCTGCCCTTAACTCTGGTAGGAGCCATAATTTATAATCAGCGACACACATCATGGTGAAAACGGTGTTTGCTTCTTCGCTGACACAAAGCGCTGCCACCCACCATCGAGAAACGAGATTTTCACTGACTGTAACTCTCACAAGAGAATCTTAGTTCTTTAAACAGCTTCCTGTTTAAAGAGGTTTGTTCCAGTACATGTGGACACAATTCAATTGTGGGATGTAACAATGTATATTTACTTAACTATTTTTTTACTTTAGTACTTTTTTATGTATCTGTACTTAGATAGATTTATTTTCAAGTCATTTTCACTTTTACTTCACAAATATCAGCAAATAATTGTACTTTCTACTCCACTTTACTTTAACAATGTAAATATTTTGTAAGTAATTAGTAATGAGACTGGTCCAATCAGAGCGGGTGGGCAACATTAGATGAGACATAATAAAGTAATAGACCAACACAATCGGGAACAGGCTACTCTTGGCAAGTACTTTTACTTTTAAATAAATTTAAAAGGAAGTATTTGCATACTTTTAGAAGAAGAAAGGTTAATGTGATAGTTTAACTTTACTACATTTTTATTTATGTAATTGTTTTTGCTTTAGTGAAATGTTAGAGTTCTTCCTACTACCACTAAAGCTGTTTTCAGACATGTCCTGCAGAGGATCCCTGGAGAATCGGAACTGGAGTTTCTCCACAGTTTGCCTTTCACAAATGCGGAGGATGACCACAGTTCAGTGCATGTCTGAAAGCAGCTTTACACAGTTACTGCAATTTATAAGAGAAGCAGCTGTAACAGTTCTCAGCAGTTTGTGTGGTCGTCCGCTAACTAGACTGGTGGAAGGCATGATGATGAATACTTGAGAGTGAAGAAGATAAATCCTTCGGTGGTGTATTTCAGCATGCTGCGTTTGGTGCCCCTTTGATAAAACAGGTGATTAGAAGAGTGAGTCAAAGTTTAAAAAGAAAGTTTGAGCCGTTGCGATTTTTCCTGAGTCCCTAACATTAATGTTATTTTCACAAATAACTGTTTATACATTTTTTTAAATTCCCCTAATGAAAAGTACTTTTCCCACTGGTAACAACGGATTATCACGCATCATATTCAAGCAGGTCTGAAAGAGCAGCAATAAGTAGGACGACATAATTATATGTTGTTCTATGTATCTGCCACTGTTGCCAAGCCAAGTCTGCTGCTAATGCCTTTCTTTTATTGTGCTCCTCTTCCCTGGGGACAACAGAGGAAATTAACCATATGGCTGGTTTTCTATTTTTAAAGTTTGGGGTTTTGCAACAGAAGCTCTCACTCAGAAATACAAACAAACTGATGAAATCAAATTAATTAAAAAAAAAAATTATAGAACCATAGAACAGGTCAGAGGTCATTAAGACTTAGGTCAGATCCTAAATCCAGGTCCACATCGTCATCAAGGAGATCTTCTCCATCACCACCAACATCATCATCATCCTCCAGATCAGATCCTGGACAAGCAAAATCGCTCCGTCTGGACTGAACACTCAGACGTGCATGTGGCTTCTGATGAGGAGCTGGAAGAGGAGAAGAGCAGAGGAGGAGAAGATAACGTAAGTGTAAGTGATTGAGTGAAAGAGTGTGTGTTTGTGAACGAGAGGGACTGAGTAGCTCTTTTCTGTACTAACGTGGGATTTTGTTGGAGGGTATTCAAATGTTTTCCCGTAACAAATGTGTACCAGTGTGTGTGTGTGTGTGTGTGTGTGTGTGTGTGTGTGTGTGTGTGTGTGTGTGTGTGTATGTGTGTGTGATTAGCCTGGCTACATAGGCCCAAATCACTCTGGGAAACATTTAGAGCACAGATTGTAATCTCTTCCAGGAACGTCAGCCCTCTCTGAGAGTCTCTGGGGTGAGCAGTGTATGCGCTCATACAAACACACACGTACATACACACTCACACACATACTGTTTAAATTTAGCAAGTAACAACTGTCTTTGATGAGAACAGTGGGAGGAAATGAGAGTTTTACAGCTTTATCGGAAGACTGAGATGAAAACAAACCTGTTAACAATGAAGCTGTAAAGCAGTGATTACAGTTTATCTTTACACTAATTCTCTTCCTTTAATTATATCACTTTTACCTGTGATATGTTTAAAGGAATAGTTTAACATTTTGGGAAATGTGTATTTGCTTTCTTGCTGAGAATTAGATGAAAAGAGCATTTGTCTGCAATGTAAATAAATCTACATTTAGGAGAGAGTAAGCTGGACGGTTCTAAGTACAAGTCTGAATGCACTCAAATACATTATTCAAACCACAATCAGAGGTTGTCTGGGACGAATGTGGTCACATGGTTTCGCTGTGTGAAAGCATGAACACGAATGCGTCCTGGGCCACATACATGTATGAAGAACCATCTACTCAGCTGACATCCTCTGACCTGCTACCGTTTCCGTAGTTACAGTTTCAATTTCCATATGTTGATTTGTTTGTAGCCACAGCAACAATGTCAACACTGATCACCACATTGATACTCATACCGTTCATTCATTCAGTCCATCTTCACTCTGCTCATTTCTTCTGTCCATCTCTCTGGCTCACGCCGAAACACGCAGAAAAAGATGCACACTCAGACATTGTAATCGGACACATCTATGGACTTTACCTGAGTAAAAACAACATATTTTTGGTCTTTGTGAGCACAAATGACTCGTAATTTTTTGCATATAGTGCAGGGGAGTGAGATGAAGAGATCTGATCACAAGAGGTCACAGGTAAAACATTCAGGAATTTAGAACCAGGTGTGAACAGACAAACTTAGTGCTGAACACTTGTGATCAGATCGCTCAGGACAGATGTTAATACCAGGTCTGAACAGGGGCTGTATCTGCCTCCCAGCACATCTAAAAAGGAAAACTGAATTAAGCAACACAGGGAGGTTATGGTCTGTTGTCCAATTACTGTGTTGTTACAGAGGAACCAGCGGAAACTCCAGAACAGACACAGAGCTGCAACATTCTTCTAATGTAAACCTCAGCAAGGAGGCAAACAAGTGCATTTCACAAAATGTCAAGCTACTCCTTTGACTAGTGAACACAGACGGGTGCTCTCCACAGTGAGTCAGAACTAAAGCGATGAGTCAGAGCAAAGGTTGGCCAGATGTGTGGGAGAGGAACAGGAGAAGGGGGTGACTACATGTCCCATCTTGCTAAAAACGTCATCAGTGTGCGTACCCATCTGGTGCCTGTGTAACATTTTCTGCTGGTTGGAGTGTGTGATCCTATTGTCAGGACATGTTTCTGTTGTTGTGTTGTTGTTGTGTGTGTGTTAGTAGACAGACAGCTTGTAAAAATGATAGCGAATGTTTCACACAGTAACAATGCTTCCTTTCAGAGTAAATGGACTAAATTAACTGTATTCATGTAGAGCTTCTCTAGACTTATAAAGCACCCAAGGTGCTTTACAGTAAAGACCACATTCACACATTCATACAGCGCTCCTATATGCTGCGCTTTTTCTGTCACACACTGTTCACACACTGCCGGTACAGACTCCAGGAAGTAACCAGTGACTTTCTGGTTGGTGGACACCCCGCTCTACCTCCTACATCATATCCTTACCCGAGTCTTTGTCATCCAGCCATGAAAGATCATCTGAGCTGACCTCAGCCAGGCTCGGGGTGGGGCTGAAGTCCTCAGAGTCAGAGTCTGGCTCTTTCACTCTAACTCTCCTACTGTGGCTGTGGGGTAATGGTGACGCCCCTGAATCACACAGGAAAACATGGTTAAATTGATTTAATAATTGATTATATTGAGTGTGTGCCTGTGTGACAGAGACTTGCCTGATGTGTGCGCTGACAGTAAAGGTGTTGGTTCACGTTCTCGAAGGGTAAGACTCCTGACCTCGTCTTTCAGCTCTGACACAACTGTTCTGTTGGAACAAGTTGAAGGCAACACATAAATCCACAAAAAGATGAGACATAACTCTGGATGTGCACACATTTGTGCACACACTCACACATTTACCTGATCTGGCGGACCTCTTCCTGTGTGTGTGAATACTGAGAGACACTTTTTGCCAGATCTGTGCTGTGAGTTCTGTAGCTTTCTGTTAGCTCCTGCATTGTCTGAATGTAGCACACAAATGAAAGGTTAAGGATCTGAAAGACTACAAACCACAAATCACACAAGCAAACACAAGCTGCATGCTACATTGTGTGTGCACCTTGCAGCTGCGTTCGTACTGCCTACTGGTCTCTCTGGCCTCTGTCTGCTGGAGGAACACGTCCTCCTCCTGTCGCCCTGTCAAACAGAGGAAGAAAGAGCTGACACCGTGAGCAAGACTGTACTTGTCTTTTGCTTGACAGGCAAGCACAGAGCTCAGGACATGTGGAGTCCTGCAGAATCAATGCGAGGACATGATGTATGTGTGTTTGCCCTTGTGTGACTCACTTAACCGTGTTTTCAGCTGGTCCACCTCCCTCCGCAAGTGTTCCAACTCCCCTCGGCAAAGCTTTGAGCTGAAACTGAGGGGAGAGAAAAGATGACAAAACTGTCATTTCCTCTTTCATACCTGTCTTCCCAAAAAATGAAAATGTCACTCAGACGTCTTCGTAATAGCAAAGTCTGAATTACACATGAAGTTTGAGTTTAGTCTGAAGTTACATCCCAAGACCCCAGCGCACCTCTCATCTAAGTTGCCTAGCGACGTGGCTCTGGTGATGTGTCCCCGCAGACTGCTCAGCTCACGTCCCACCTCTCTCCTCCACTGCTCCATCATTCTCTCTGCCCTTGGACTTTGTCCCCTCCATGATTCTTCTCTCCCTCTTTCACTCTCCCTCAGCTCCTCACGCAAGCTGTGAATCTCCTCTGGAAAAGAATAGAGTTTTCTTTGAGTAAGAGTTTTTTCCCCTCCTGTAGTCACCTTGTGGGTAAATCCTAATAATTTATTAAACTTTCAAATTATGAATGAATCCTCTCTTGATGCAGGTATTTTGCAGTTTCACACAGTAGAGGTTTGGGTAGTAAGTAGAGAAGGCACAGAAGAGCTCTGGTGGGAAACTCTAGTGAGAAACAGTGATGAGGCAGCGTTTTACAGATAAATATATAATTCTAGCTTATTTACAGTTTAATTTATTCATCTGGCAGACACTTTCTACACAATGTACACATTAGGGACAATGCAAACCACATTAGCAAGTGAAAAATATAACATCTTATAATTAAAATAGATTAAAAAGTAGGCTGATAAACTTGTAAGCACTCATCTGTTCCAAGTGCTGTGTGTGCTGATGGTTCTCAAAACTGAATCCTCTTTCATGGATAGGTGGTGTATTAACAGCACTGTCCCCTTCATTCATCCTCTACAGCTGAAATGTCTATCTGCAGGGCACCCAACCTCTCAAGTGTGTGTGCTCAATGCTCCAAGTTACTGTTTCGGGCGTACACAGGGGTCAAATTTCTTGATAATTCTTGATAATCAAGAATTATCCTTCTTCCTATTGAAGTGAGGATCCTGCCAAAGGTTTCACTCTTTTCTACCTGATGATAATCTAAGTCGAACAAATCATAGCAGAAACAGAATAAAATGCCTTTAATGCAAACAAATTCTGCACCATTTAAACAGATGAAATTCACAGTCCTACTCAAAATGCATATATTGTTAAAAAAAGACTGGAATAATAAATAAAGTTCTTTTCATGATGGTTTTGTTTGTTTACTGTGATTAAACTGATTCATTCTTTTGTTTTATATACATACTGTCAAACATTAGAGCAGATCAAAAATGTATGTGATTGACTTCAATTTATTTAAACTGTAATGTAATAAAATTCAACAGTGTTTTGGATCAATTTAAGATAAAGAAGGACAATATTAAAAATGAGCGGTCATGAATGATCAGAGACTTAAACTGAAAGAACTGTAACTGACTCTAAATGAAACTGGATTTGACCTGATTTTACTGTTTCTAACTGTTTTTCAACTTAAGCTCTGAATTGAACCTGTCGACTTAGTTTGGGTGTGACTTGGTTAAACAGCAATGAACTAAATAAGAGCTCCAGCTCCTTTTTTCTGTTTGACGATAACAGGAGTGTTGGTGTGTTTGTGTGAGGATAACATGACTCAGTCAAAACTGAGGTAAGCAGCCATGGTGCAGCAGTTACCTTGTAGTGTCTGGATGTGACATTGTTGTGACTGTCGCTCCTTTTCCATGTCATAGAGTTTCTTGTTGAGAGAGTCAATAGCCTTGCAAAGACATTAGAAGCAGACATGTGGAACTCTGTTAGAGCTAACGCACCATAATACATCACTTAACTGCAACAGCTACTTTATCTCACACATTCGGCTTGATCAAACAAATGGTTGCACACATGCTTCGAGTGAACAAATAATCACACACCTGGCTCTGCATCTGCAGTTGTGACTGGAGAGCAGCAACGTCTGCCCATTGCACACCGGAACTGAGAGAGGGGAGCGGGTGTCGGAGAAGAGGGGCTCGGGGGCTCGAAGCAGGAGGGTCCAAATCTAAATCACGTAGCTGCTCCCTCACAGGAAACAGGTCTGGGGAGGAAGAGGAATGTGTAAGAGGTTTTCCACAAGGGACTCAATTCAAATCTAATGAGTTAAAACCACTGTCCCTACATCAATCTATAGAATGTTGTGAAGCCTAATAAATGTGTTACTCATGCTTTATGTATTCTCGTCGCGATCACTGCAACGCACTTTACTCAGGTATCAGTCAGGGCTCCCTCCACTGTGTTCAGTTGGTCCAAAATGCTGCCACTCAAAATTACCGGATTACCAAAGATATCACCCCTATGTCTGCTTATTACCCGATAGCTTTCAAATTGATTTTAAAATTGAATTAAGTCCAGAGTAGGTTCGAGCAATATCTAGCTGGTGTGTGCACTCCTGAATGAGAGCTGCAGATGGAGCCCTGCTGGTCCCTCCCAGGTCTGAGTGTTGGACAAAGGGATATTCAGCTTTTGCTATTAAAGCCATTTAGAACTCTCTGCCTGCTGAACTCAGACACATAACCTCTCTTTTAAATCTCGTCTTAAAACTGTCTTTTTTAAAGTAAATAATTATTTTTTTATATTTTCTTATAAATGTATACTTATTTTTGTTTTTTCAATGTTTTATCTCTTATGTGGCCAATTTCCTCTTGGTCAACTACATTGTCTGTTTTTTATTTTGGGGGGTTTTACCTCTTGTTGTTCAGCACTTTGTAAAATTGTAAAAACAAAGTGCAATAGAAATACAGTTTATTGTTGTTGCTATTATAATAATAATAATTACCTCATTCTGACTATGTGTAACAAGTGGATTATCATTATTATTACAGGCAGAGTGATATATTCATTGATGATGAAACATTTCACCCAACCTTCTCCTTTGGAGAATTTCCCTGGTGAGGTCAGTCTTTCCTGTGGACAAAAACATTTTTCAGTTTCAAAGTGTTATACTTTCCCAAACTCTCACCAACACTTCCTCTGTTAAATGTGGAGCAACCCTGCCATCTACTGACAGCTGCAATAACAACAGCTGACCACAACACCACAGTGAAGGCTCCTGTGTTTTGTATGAATTCCACTGTGGTCAAACGAAAATCACTCTGTGCACACTCTTTAAACACATGATTAGAGTAATTTCCTGCAACACCATATTATGACAAGCATGTCTGAGTGCACTCACCCTCATCTTTGCTACGCTGCCGTCTGCCACTGACAGGATAGAGCTCAGCTGGGTGTCCCAGTTCATGTCTGTCTAAAAAAGAAAAAAGAAAAAAGAAACACATGAACTGAAGTTATCAAACACATATTCCATTCAGCGTTAGTCGTTCACTTTTGATCCACGGTGCAACAGCAACCGGTCAGGCAGTGTTGAGTGGCCTGTGGTGGGAGGTGATACACCAAACACCAGCAGTAACTTTAGACGGCTGTTGTCTAGTGGCTGGTTGTTGAGGCAACAAGCTAGCTGAGATCTCACACACTTTGTGGGGAGTTAGATCGCAGCAGGGTGTGTGCATGGGTGCAGGCTGACTGATTGAATACTGATCAATTGGTCCCACTGGGGAACAGCTCTACAGTCTCCAGGAGCAGACACAGAGGTGATCCAGGGCAGAACCCTCCTTTAACCCCCTTCACCCCGAGTACAGACTTGCTAACACAAACGTAGCTGAACCCTTTTTAACACACAGTCCATGAGCTAAACACGTTAGAGAGCCACTAACCGAAGCTAGTTCCAGTAGCAGACACTGTAGAGCACTGAATTATGTCTGTTTTATATTAGAACGAACAAACTATCGTCAAGTATTTAAAGACAAATGTGAAAATGTTGGAACTAGCTGAATAATCGCAGCGAGCTACTCACAGAAAACCCAGCGCCCCTTCCATCCCACTGTTTTCAAATCCAGGAGCCCGTGACGGCGACGTGATTGCTTATGACGTAGCCACCGGTGTCTTCTGGGTATTGTATACACTCTCGGCACAGGAGACGCCGAAGAACACCATCACCCACAATGCCTCGCTTTGTATTGACTTGCAGTAATGGCGGCCACCTCTCGGAGCGTGGAAAGTGTGACAGGACTTTTAGAGGACCGTTTATCCACGTTGGGATTCGAAGTTTACCCTCTGAAGGTATTACTTCAGTAGTTTATTTTATGTAGGTAGCTACTGGTGAGGAGAGGGGGTTCAGAATGTGCAGATACAATTCAGTACATCCCATAATATGAAAATAAAATCAAGTGATGTTATTTAATCGGTGTTTATGGTTCGTCTACCCACGTTAGTTGTTGATATGGTACAAGCTTACAGCGAATTAGATTTGAGTGAGTGAGTGAGTGTGTGAGTGAGAGAGTGAGAGAGAGAGTGTGTGAGTGAGAGAGAGAGAGTGTGTGTGTGTGTGTGTGTGTGAGAGAGAGAGAGAGTGCCTGTGTGTCTCAGGTTTTATGTGATACCATGGTGCACCTACATCTGCTAACGAATGCTGCTCTCGAATACATGTTTTTAGGTTAGGTTTAGATTAAGGATAGGCTAAGGGTGAGGCAGGTAGTAATCATGGTTTAGGTAGGAAGGTAAAATGTGGTTTGGTCATGGTTAAAGGGATAGTTCACCCCAAAATGAAAATGTACTCATTATCTACTCACCATGAAATCGATTGAGGAGTGAGTTAAGTGTTTGAGTTCACAAAACACTTTTGGAGTTTCAGGGGTAAACAGCCTAATCCAATGCAATTGAAGTAAACAGGACCACATTTTCATACATAGAAAACAACACAAAAAACCCTCCATACTGCTCCTGTGGTGTCTTCCAAGTTTTTGTAAACCCCGACATTCAAATTTGACTCAAAACAGCCTTATTTACAACATGTTTAAGCCTGAATGTCCGCTGTTGTCCTCCTAGTTATTGCTGCAGAACCATAGACTCTATATGAACTCATGATACTCACAAGTTCCTGCAAGAACTTTCCCTTTAAGGTTGAGGATAAAGTTTTGGTTCAACTGTCCACAATTGATGGACGTCAGTGTAAAGTCCTGATAACGACAGCTGTTCAAATCTCTCTCTCTCTCTCTCTCTGTCTCTCTCTCTCACTGTGCGTCTGTCTGACACTCTGTCCCACCATGTCCTCAGGTTGGTTGGTATAACTCGTTGCTGCCTGCCTCACTGCGTCTGGCCTTTCCAGATGACAGCCTGGCTGTGGTGGTGCTCAGCACTCCTGCCATGTTTGAACAAGCCTTCCTGCCATTCATGGAGGAGAGGGGCTGTCAGAGAGTGACAGACCCCATAGACCAGTGTGTCAAACACTGTGTAACTTCAGCTGTCTCGCAGGTGAGTGTTATAGAGGGTGACAGACTTCCTCCCTCTTCACTGGGCTATATATCCTGATCCTGTAAGTTGTCTGAAATGTAAATTGAATGTCATATATAGATAAAATAAACAGATGGATATCTCTGGTTTTGTTTAAAACTTTTAACACATCCATTAAAAAAATCAACCTACTCTACAATGATGCAAAAAGCCTTACAGCCTTGCAGCATTCTAGGGGATAGATTTGTATATTTAAAAACTTTTTGCAATGATTCCCAAGATTTCGTTATCAAACTCTTATGACAAAGAAATTTAACGGAGGCTTGATATTTAACCGTTTAAAAGAAAACTCAAATAAAAGCAAACATATAAAACTTTAATTAAGTTTTTAGTTTAGCAAATGCCAACAAATCATCAGCATCTTTTTTTCAATTTGTATTTTGTAAAAAATGGTTTTCATATCGGCAAACGTAAATGTCCATACAAGACGTTCGTGAAAACCTCATATCGGCCGATTTTACCAACCAGTAAATGGATTGGACTCTACCTGAGAACTGTAACTACTTTCATGAGCACCTTATCATGTGACACCTGAACATTTCCCGCCCCTCTCTCTTTCCCGCAGTGTTTTCCAGGAGAGAAGGTGGATGTGAGGTTCGACTACGAGCTGCTTCCCAGCAGGAAACCAAAGTTCTTGGCACAGACTGCAGCTCACATGTCTGGAGCAGCTTTCTACTACCAACAGTCTGATGTCACAGACCAACCCTGGGCTGAAAGAGTAATGCTTATTTTTCTGGAATCTCATTGTGTGCTGTATGATAACTGACATCATTTTGCAGATTAGCGTATTCCTCCTCACATGAATTTCGTGTGTCTCCCTCTGTTTACCCACAGAAGATGTTTGGTGTGTGCGTGCATCCGAGGTTCGGGGGCTGGTTTGCCATCAGGGCTCTGCTGGTCTTTGAAGATGTGACGCTGGAATCCGAGGTGGTGCAGCCTCTTCCTCCTGACTGTGTGCCCACCAGAGAGGGCAGGATACAGCTGCTGGAGGCTTTCAACTTCCGCTGGCAGGTACAGCACCTTAGCACTGCCACGTATTATACCTGTTGCACACACAATACTCTAAATAGACACCAGGGATTTATTCCAAAGACCAGCAGATAGATGACCTTTAGATAAAAGAGCACCCATGTGTTGAAGGTTTCGTTGTCCTGTGGGGATTTGTTTTCTGTTCACTCTTTACTGCACTGAAGGGGAGATGAGAATAACAAAAACTTCATGTCGTCTCTATTATGAACACATGACATGAGTATTCTACGCAAAACAAACATATTCCAACCAACAACATTAAGAGTGTGAGGTATTTATCTTATATACCTTTTAAACATGTTTATTTACAATTTGAGCCCCAAGTCTTGACAAATCTTTTAAATATTATTTCCGTTGTGATTACATACATTCCCCGAGACTTTAACACAGCATCAATTTATATTTGAATGCGTTCAAACATGTAATTCAGTGCTGTAAATGATCAGTCTCACAAAATCAGTGAACTTGGTGTGTTAACTGTAATTTATCAATAAAGTGATAGCCCTTAATTTGTCAAAAATCATTTAGATAAAAGGACAGTAACAAATTGAAATTTTCTCTGAAAGTTGAATTTCTATTTCTATTTCAGTCTTAAAAAAGTAAAAATAAAAGTTTAAAATTTAAGAATTTGAGGCCTTACAGATTACAAATATTACTGTACTAAAACAGTCTTAAATACATTTAGTTAACTCTTAATTATGTTAATTTAACCTTACTTCCGTCGTGCTTTTAAATTAGTTTTATTTTTTGGGATAAATGTTTTAACAGCATGTTTTGTTTGTAATGTCTCTGTGCACTGTCTGAGCATCTAAGTCAAATGCGTCATGACATTTTCTGTCTAATTTGTATCAACAGGACTGGAGCTACAGAGACATCATCCCTCCAGTTCAGACCTACTCTCAGAAACAGAGGGACTACTTTATCACTCCCCCCGCTCAGCGCTTTGCTCTTCTCAAGAGTTGGGGCTTCCTGCCGAAGGAAGACAACCAATCTGACAGCAACTCGTACGCACAGAGCGAGATGAGCGGACACGGCTAAGAGAGAGAAACAGCTGCAGTGTGGACGTACAGACGAGTGACAAATTCAAGGAAAAAGGAGCAGAGAAACAGGATGACAACACTCCCATCCAAAGGTCCCCAGGGGTCAGTGAATGGTGTGATGTGTATAAAAATTATGTGAAATTACATTCAAAGTCACCAGATCTCCAACCATGGTAGATTTTCAACCGACATGTTAAACAGCGTTCTCCACCACCACCATCAGGACACAGAACAAGTGGTGTTTATCCCTCCGGCAGAGTCCAGAGACTTGTAGCATCATTGCCAAGGTGAACTGAAGCTCTTCTGGGAGCTCGTGATGGCTCAACCCCTGAATGAGACTCTGTAAAGCTGTTTTCAGACATGCACTGAACTGTGCAGATCTCTGGAGGAGGTGCGTCTGTGGAGAAAACCTCCCACTGCGTTGTGCATTTGTGAAAGGCACAGTGCGAGTAAAGTCTGGACCCATTTCTCCAGACTTTACCCTCAGGTCATGTCTGAAAACAGCTTATGTTGCCTTTTCTTTTAATTTGCCATCCATCTTTATTTCCCATTCACTCTGAGCACAAACCTTCGCTGCTTGTTAGACTTTTAATTAAATTTAGTTTGAACCCGATCGATCAGCTGCATATTGAGACCAGAGCTAAGATGCTGATCTAAGCCGATTGGAAAGGTCATGTGAAAGCTATTTTCTAGGATGTGGGATACATTTTCAGGACTTGTGTACGAATGTTCACTGCTGCTAAATGTGTTTCATCTCATGGTCACACTACTTCACATCACAATAATATTTGCCTGAATTAAAGGCAACTCCTTTCATTGCATGATTATATGAAATCCTGACTTTACTCATTCATACATATTGAAATCACTGGTCAGGACTTTAACGGTCCTTGTTGCTGTTCCCTTACAGTTAACAAATTAATATAATTTCTATTTGAGTCCGATGTTTAAATTTTTTTGTTGAAATGTGGGAAATGTTATGAAATCTAGATTTTCGATTTTATTGCAAGAACCAGACTCGGTTGGAGTCTGTTCTGTCATGTGCTACAATATTTTGAAGGATGCACTTTATTACACTGTAAATGTTTATGTAGCAGCAGTGGATTTCATTCACTACATTCTTCTTCTTCTTCTTCATCTTTCGGCTGCTCCCTTTAAATATATTAAAATAAAGACAGGTGTGTGACTCAATGGATGTGATTTTCAGAAATGCTAAACATCACCTAGGCTAAATGTAAAAAAGTTGTGCGTTTAAACAAGATGTAAATCAATAACTGCCACTCCAAGTAAAGAACTTTTAAAGGATCATTTCAGCAATTTAAAAAAAAAAAGTGATGTTCTTAACATTGATTGTATTTAGAGATGGACAACACATCTCCACTTCCTCCCACCATCCAGAAATGAAGCCAAAATATCCAGGATACAAACACTGCCATCTTGCATATTTGAAGAGTCTCCTCAGTTGCAGAACACATGCTCGACCAATCAGGAGCCACTCTCTGCTGTCAATCAGTACGTTTCACCCTGTTTTTATAGCATCAAAAAACAAATGAAAAACAAATTTGCCGGAAATATTAACACTTGAACAAACATCAGTGTGATAAGAACAACCTAAAATGACTTTTTGAGAAAAACAGTCAATGTTCCATGTCAACCACTAGGGGTCGATCAAGATGCTTTGGCTTCACTTTTGGGAGCTGACATGTTGTCCACCTCATGTATGGTTCACAGCGCCCCTTCTGTTAGCTATCAAAGTAGGTACTTCAGAATAATACTAGTAGAATTACTAGTTATATAGAGTTGCATTTGCATGTGTACTTGTACTTCTATTCATCGAAATCTTTGATTGTCTCAGTTGTCCTTGTCTCCAGTTCACCAGACAAACATTTTGATGCATTATAGATGTGAGCTGCCTCTGCCCCCATGCAGCCTGGTGACAGACTAATGATTTTCAACTGTGACTGCCCCCCCCCCCCCTGTTACTGGGTCAGCACCCACATTGTCACCCAGGACACTCTCAGGTTATCACGGGTTTTTCATCAACACCTAAAAGCTGCATCAAACCACCAGTGGACCTGTGCATCGAGCAGCTCTCTGGCACAGTGAGGGGTAAACAGTGCTCTCTCTCTCTCAGTCCATCAGTAGCTCTGCAGTAGATATCCACTGCTGGACATGCCTGTAGTTTCGCCTCTAGATGTCGCTCTTGTCTTGATAATGCAGGTTGTGCCTTGGTGCTGCTGTATCTGCACTCAGTACTTGGGAAAAGTTTAGTAGAGACTCTGCAGATATCCTGCATCATATTTTCAACGATACCATCTACTCACTTTAACTGTAGCTTATAGATCTTACACAGTATTCAATTTGTAGCTTTATTTTAACTCTCATTATGCGTGCAAAAATTCTGAGAGGCTGTTCGGCTGTTCTGCATTTGCTTCAGTTCCATCTCTCTTCCAGTGCATCCCTCTCCTCACCCTACTCCCCCCCTCATGCTATACTGTCTACCCGTGTACTGAATCAGCATTTCAGGGCAGTATGCCGCAGGCCTGCAGAGAGGCAGAGTATGGAGTTAATTATTCTCCCACAGATACTCAATCTTGCCCCTGTCCCCTTATGTTGCTCTGTCCCTCCCCTCTCTCTCTCTCTCTCTCTCTCTCTCTCTTCAGATGTGCAGTTTACATCTGGACTCTGCAGATCAACTTTCAGTCCCCAGGATCCTTACATATTTATAATCACATCATGACTCTTACTCTTGATTTTCAATTCCCCTTCAGGTTTTATTTGTATTGCATCACAGTTATGATGCATTTTTGACAGATAACTACATATGACAAAAAGATGATCATCCTGAATTGATGTGTTTTGCAAACTATATTTTCCAGAAGCCATTTACCAAATAAAATCTATTCAGCACAAACCCACACAATTGTCTTTCTGCATCCCTTCCTCAGTCCTATAATCCTTTCACGACTGGTTTTAAACCCAGAGGTTTATCATTTTCCTCTGAGACTTCTGACAGAGAGAGAAACCAACACTGTAGTCATTTACCAGGACTGCACATCTCTGACTCTGTGGGTGAGGAGGCTGTAAGATTTGTTCTCAGAGGTGAGTAGTGTGCATCATCTGCAGCTGGGAGTACAATGATATTACACTGCATGTCAGAGATGAAGCAGTTAGACATAAAGAGTCAGTGAGGCTGAGAGCTGCTCCTCTCCACTCTGTTTACTATCCTGCAGTTTTCTCCACAGTGCAGCTTCAGCTCTGGCAGATAGAGCTGCTCTGCTGAGCTCTCACAGTTACTGCAGAGGCTGGTTTGCACTTTGACTGTTGTGGGAGACAAAGGGTCACCAGCTCTTATACCACTTGATAATCTAGCAGTTTTCCCCGAAACAATACACATCAATCCAGTGAGACATGAACAAAGAACAAATCAAATCAAATCTTATTTGTATATCCCATATTCACAAATCACAATTTATCTCAGAGGGCTTAACCAAGGTGCGGCATCCTCTGTCCTTTATTCTCGACCAGAGTGAGTTAAAACCTTTAACAGGAAAAAAACATTGAGGTACCTCAGGGGGAGTCACATGCAAGAGATCTGTCTTCCAGGACAGACAGAAGTTCAATAGATAGTGTGTAACAGAGCACATCGACAAAATAACAATGTTTACAACATTCATGAGAAAAGACAGTGACTAGCATAAATGGATGAGGTTTATCAATGTTTAGAGTATTTATACAAATAACAAGTCTGACAGAGATGAAGGGAGCAGAAATAACAATTGTATCCTGCATGTATTGATGAGACATTAATGCGATGAAGAGGGAGAGGAGGAATAAAAAAAATCTTATCGATAGATTAAATCTTTAATGTTGATTCCATGTTTTGTAGTTCAACCCTTCATTGAGCAGGAACTAGGAACTAATTCCACAGCAAAGACTTGTAAATCCAACAAAAGCTCAAGTACTGATACTGATCCTAAAAACAAAGAGAGAACCAGAATCAATTTGTTCTGAGAATAAGTGCTCAAAGTCAACTGAGTGCAGAAAAACCACTGGACATTGATGTCATGTTTGTGCACATCAAGAATTATCTGGCGTTGAAATAGTTTCACACAGAGATGAGAGAAGAAGATAAAGAAAGAGAGGGGAAAGATGAAGCGAAGAAGATGAGTGGTGTTCCATGAGTTGTGGATCAGTGGAGCGGTGTTATCCGCCCACAGACATCAGTGAGCAGCCAGCGAGGGGAAAGGCCAGCAGCGTACCAGCAACAGAGGAGGAACTGAGCTCTGAGTCAGGGGAGGAGAAGATATATTTATGTATATTATAATTCACTGATTACTTAAAAATGGAGAAAACATTCAAACACACATACTATGTAGATTTATGAGAACCAGAGACCATGACTTTGTTCTTTCTCTGTTTCCTGTACTTCCTTCCTTTGCTTATGTTAACAAAATATACTCATCATTTGTCACAGCTCCCCTCCTTCTTTCTTTAAACCACTCTGCCTCAGTGCGTGCACGTGTTTCCAGAGGTGATACACTTTAAACTGTCTCCTTATCATTTTCTTGGATTAGCATAATTAACAAGTCTTATGCCTCCAGAATTCCCCCCTGCAGCCAATTGGTTGTCAGCTCCAGTGGTGGGGGAAAGTGGGGCGTGAAGAGGGAGTGGTAGGCCAAAGACAGAGGGGTCTGAAGAGATGGATAGGGAGGGGCGGGTAAGAGGAGGACTGTCCAATTAGCTCATTATCAGACGATTAAAGTAGACATCTCTCTTCATGCACTCACAGAAACATTAAATATGAATGTGAAATGAATAGAAAACTAGAATGACACTCAGTAGAGCTCATATCTCCGTCAAGGCAAAACAGTCCCTTTAAATTCAATCAAGCTGCACCAGATTTCACACACTCATAGATATCAATTCCCTGAATGTGTCTGATTTTTTTCACCAAGATCCACAAATTATTCTCAGGGAAATCAATGAAAATGAAACACACCCTGTCTATCAATGTTCAAGAAAGTGAAACAATATCCTGAATCTGCCCCATGACCTGGATCTGGACCATAATTTAATGAGTTATTCCCAAAGACTGTTTATAAAGAGGTTGTTCCCTGACACAATACAGCATCCCTCCTGGAAATATGTCATGCAGTTCTTGCCTCATCTTGCAATTAAACAAAGAATCTTACCAACAAAAAACTGGTCAGGGGGGAAAACATAACCTCACTGGTGGAGTTAATCACAGTCAACATCAGATCTGTTCAAAAGTGACAAAATCAGATGCATCATGTAAACCAGGCACAAACATGCACTCACATGCGCACAGATGAAATCAATGAGTTCGCCGATGAACCACCACTGAGTCCACACGCAAACACAAGTCTAGCAAGTACATGATGTGAAGCAGGGCGATGACGGAGCAAGTGATTGTGTAGTGGAACAATTTTGCCAGCATCCCCCCAGCCACTGGGACGTGAATATAATTGTACTCAGTGGTGAAGCAGAGTGATGTGACAGTTTGTATCTGGTCTGAAATGTTACAGCAGCTTTAACTCTGTGTCTCTCAGAGGAACAACCGTGTAACAACGTTTACCTGACATCCATTGTCTCCACTATAAACCACCTCTTCGAAGTACAGTGAAGCAGTCAGACAGGAGAGAGGGATTAGAACGAAGTGAGGTCCTCTTTTACATAATCCACTGTTTTAGATTAGCTTCATTCCCCTGAGAATGGGATACGTCTAACCCTTGGGAACAGAGAGGAGAACTGCAGCCTCACGGATCTGGAGTAGAGACAGTCACTTTGCAGTTTCAGCTGTTTATCACCTACATCAACGAGGGTTTCACTCCTGTCTGCGTATTTAGTGTTTAGTTAGTTTGTTTGCAAGAGAGATTACACAGAAACAACACATTTCCACAAAACTTTGTGGAAGGATGCAGTGCGGGTCAGAGAAGAACACAGTTATTCTTAAAGGTAATTGCATATGACACCCTGATTGGTTTATTGCATGCAACGCCAGAAACACACCCATGATTGATTAACAGACAAGACTACAATCCTTTTACATACCTTTCATGGCAACAGATTTTTCTGCCATTCTGGTATTGTCACTTGTGGCAACTGCTGCTACTGTCAGCCAAAGTTACATGGGCTGACTTTATCTCATTCCCTCACAACATAAGCTGAACTCCCACAGGCCAGAACTGAACCACTAGATGTGTGGATTCTCCAGAACCAACCGACTGTATGATGGATAATCATCCTCTGTGTCTCCTGTGTGTGCCATTCCCTTTTGCCTTCACTTAATAAATATACCATAAATTGCACACATAGTAGATATCAGTTCTCTTAAAAGTGCCTGATTTTTTATCGAGATCTATGGATTATTCCAACAACAGAAAATGGTGAAAATCTTGAAAAACTCCCTACCTCCTAAAGATGCCTTGATCCCCCTCCAAATCCAGATATGCACCAAAACATAGGTTGCTCCCTGATCCATACCACATCCT